AGTTTCATAAAGTAAAAAGAGATAAACAATGAGAAATCCTCATATCAAAAGACAGTAACATATGTATTAAATAATTGCCATGAAAACAAACTAAGATAAATTACACAGTTATAAAATTATTGAGCAGCACTGATATAAGTTATTTAAAGCACCACTTTTGAGGCTGGAGAGATGGTTCAGTGGTTAAGAGCACTTCCTGGACATGAAGAGGACCTGGGTTTTATTCCCAGCACCCACACAGAGACTCACAACCATCCACCCATAACTCTAATTCCAGGGGACTCAACACCCTCTTCTGACCTCCACAGGCATTGCATAATACAAGCACACCTACCTACATGCAAGCAATACACTCATATACATAAAATAAAACAAAAATAAATAAATAAAAAGCCCACCACTCTCCCAGGATACTACCGATAAGTGAGGAGTAATGTGATTTCCACTCACCTTCCAGCAACAGATGTGAGCCATAAAAGATACTGAAATAAGAGCCTTCATGAAATAACAAATGAAAAATACCAACCCCAAAATCTATGGATAAAATATTTTTTTAACTAATTTAAAATAGAAACAGATTAAGAAGCAAAAACTAAATGACTGGTAAAAGACAGCCTTTCTAAGTAGAATTTTAAAGAATTCCAAGAAGACATCAATTGCTTACACATAGAAATTTTGAGATAAAATATAAAGCCAGGTATATGACACATGGCTTTAATCCCAGCAATAAGGAGGCAGAGACAGATGACTCTCTGTGAGACTGAGGCCAGGCTGGTCTACATAGCGAATTCCAGGCTAGCCAGGGCTACATAGTGAAAACCTGCCTCAAAAAATAATAATAAATATATATTGTCCAAATGTGAATAAAGCTAATCCAATATTAACTATATTATTAGTAACATTTGCATGATTTTTAAAGAAATAGAATTACCATACACAAAACATTATCATTTGAAATGGGAAAGAGTTAATTAGAATTAAAGTACTTTATTCTGTGTGAAACAAAAAAAAACCCCTCAGGTTAACAAATGCCTAATGATCGGTACCTATGACATATATAACACCCAACAACTGAACGTTCATCTGTGAGGGGAACAGTCAGAGGAGCTTAGAGCCACTGACTTAACCACATGGGCAAATGTGGATTTGTGGACAACAGTTATGTACTGTGAGAGCTAACAGGGACTTTGTTTGTTACCAGCCTTTGCTATCTTGACATATCCTTCAATAGCAAAAAGTTAAGTCGATATTCATGAAATGGATATTCTTGGAGTGGTGTTCATAATGATATAGATTCTAACAATACAGAGCTCATGTACCAAAGAAAAATTGAAATCCTGTCACTTCCTTTTCATTTAATATAACTAAAATATTTATATATTTAAAATTTTCTGAGGAATAAATTACGGTTTTCTGAGAATCTCTGCTCCACTTTGCTAGTTCAGTATAGTTATGGAAGAAGAAAAACCCAACCAACCTACATTATGCACTGTGTATTTGTACACCCCTACTTAGGCACTAAGGAACAAGTGATGACTTTTTAATTTAAAAAATCATATAATTAAAGCATTACTTTTAGATTATTCTGGAAAAAATCAACATTTTGTCTATGACCATATGAAGCACTTTACCTTTAAAAGTGAAATTCAAAGCCAGAAAAGGATGCCCCACCACATGCTCTGTTGCCACACATCATACATGCATCACACAAACACATATACATACTGAGATTACTTTTAAAAGAAATATAAATACTATTTTCAATAGTAATTGTCAGCAAATTTTCCTGGCTCTGATTTATTTGAGGATCTATTGGAAAGAAGAGCTGTTTGTTATTTTTATTTGTGTGTGTGTGTGTGTGTGTGTGTGTGTGTGTGTGATGAATTATGTGTGTGAATGTGTGCGAGTGTGGGTATTAAGTACCTCACACAGCATGCCTGTGGAGCTCAAAGGAAAACCTTGGGTGTCAGTCATCACCTTTCTCCTTGTCTGCCTCTGAGTATACCAGCTGGCTTTCCCATGAGCCTCCAAGGAGTCCCCAGTTTCTACTTCCCTTCTTGCTGTGGGAACACTGGAACTTCAGATACACACTACTGTGTCCGGCTTGACTTGGATCTGGGGATCCAGACCCACATCTTCAAGCTTGCATAGCGGGGGGCTTTACCCATCGAGCAATCTTCCCCAGTGCCAAAGAAGAGCTTTTCACTTGATACTAAATCATTCAAGGAATCTTTTCTCTAATGTGCGTTATTTAATTTATATGTACATAAAAGGCACAGAAATCTACAAAAATATTCAAATGAATAGGAAGAAAGTCAATGTTTTATAATTTAGAACAATAGTTTTAAAAAAGAAAATACATCACTATTGTTCAAAATACAGGACGATGAAATGGATGAACACTTTCACAGACTTTTTTCCTCACTGTACTGATAGATTGGTCTCGTGCATTCTTAGATAAAGTAGTATTTTTTTTAAAAGGAAAACCATCTTGAAATATAGCCCAGTGTTCACAGTTTGATGAATCTGAAACGTGTACTTCCAATTGAGAGAGACAATTGCAAAGAACAGCTTGCACAAGCCGAACAGAGAAAAAGTGACTGTGGAGGGACAATAGAGTTGAGTGCACCTTTCGAAACCAGAGCTGTAATCCAGTTTGTAAGAAAATAAAGCATGGATGCATTGGCCTCAACTCCAGTGAATCACAGAAGCCTAACACAATACAACACAAGTGACATCCTTTTCTCAGAGAGGCGCAAGGCTCACTGAGTTAGGCGATTCAATTACCCTCTCACCCTGGGATGAAGACCCCCCCACTCCTGTGTTCAGGTCCACTGGCAGATCTATGTAGGACAGCCTACACTGATCATAGCCAGTAAATATCTAAAAAGCTGCAGACTTCAAAGGACAAAAGTCTTTGACCTTTCATGATTGCTACAATGATTCTTCAGGAAAACATTACAAAAGTTTCTTAAAGGCAGGACAAAGGATTACATTTTCAGTTAAATATCCTCAAGTCTTTTGAATTAATGTGGTTATCTATTTAAATAAATATCTAAGCAGAATGCTTTATGAAGTAGTATTTAGGAACAAATTAACGACACGAAAGGAGTTTTTCCAAAAATAGCAATGGCCCCCAGATGTGTTATAAACTCCTCAGACAATGCTATGACTCTCTTTTTGGCCATTTTTTTCTATGAATTTGTGCAGCTTTTGAGTAAGCAGGTGTGTACCCTTAGTGTCACAAAAAAGGTACTGAGCCTGGAAATGTTTGTAGAAAAGTTGATATGAATGCTCTTTCAGGATTGATGGCCATCAACACACTCATATTTGATATGAGGATTGTGTGTGTGTGTGTGTGTGTGTATGTGTGTGTGGAGAGAGAGAGAGAGAGAGATAGAGAGAGAGAGAAAGCTAATATATGTGTGTGTATATATATATATACACACATATATATTAGCTGAAATATTTTAGACTACAGTCTCCATACATTTTGATAAAACCCTATTAAAGGAGCATAATTCCAACATTTCCAGTATAGTCTACATGGCATTTCTTCACAGATAACACAAAATTCTTGTAATGTTGAAAAATTTTGAATACTGTGATAACCCTAACCCTAACCCTAACCCATTCCTTTCAAATGAATAGGAAAAAAAAATCAATGTTTTATAACTTAGAACAATTTAGAAGATTTATTCTTCTAAATTATAGAACAACATGGAGCAGGTTTCCCACCATCTACTGGATTAAGACCCAGATGTGGATTATGTTATTCATGAATTTTTACAACCTAACCAACGATCTGCTTTTCTGTTTCCAATTTCTCTTTTTCGTGGAATCTAGGCTTTGTTTACTGATGCTGAATTACATTTCCCCAAAGAGGCCATGCTTTTTATTCACATTCCTGCCTTTATACATGTTGACTAATCCTCTGGTTAATGGATTACAGCATCAACCACAACACATTGTAATTAGCTGTTTTTAAAACTGTGTCTTTCTGTAGACTTCATTATGAAGCTTATTATGATTATTAAGACAGGGTGACAGCGAAGAGCATCTTAGTGTCCGGCAGTGTGTCTGCCAAACAATAGGTGCTCAATAATTAATATTAGCAACTAAAATGACAATCACTTTTATACAGTTTCCACACTAAATCAATAGAAGCAGTAATCTTTCCACATCAGTAAAACACACAGGAAATTACTACATTAAACATATTAACTGAAAGTCTTATTCGTTTTTCACCAACTTTGCTAAGAGAGATGCAGCACAAACTAGACCCAATAGGTTTCAAGAAAGAAACGAGGACAAAAATTTGGGTGAGAAGAGAATGAGGTGGACGAGGGAGAGTTGGGGAAATAAATATGATCAAAATTCATAATATGAAACTCTCAAAGATCCAATAAAATTTAATAAGTAAAGAAAGCAGGGCTTAGATTTTCACTGATTTTAAAAAATTGAAAATCAAAATTTTCTTTATTCCAATAACATCCCTAGAAGACATTTGAATAGTCTGTTCTCAGCTACAAATATGTATGTAATTACTTCAAATCTTAAACAAATTAAGTGAATTGTAGTAAAAGGGAAAAGGTGATTCCTTTCATGTATTTCAATGTGTGAGACTAAATGCAAATGTGCATTTTAGAGCAAAGGTATTTTGGCAGTTTAAATTTGTTCTGATGATCAATGAAAATTCCCACCATTTGGAAGCTTAAGCTGAGCATAGTCTAGTCAATGAAATCCTTATAGGAAAAAATACATTCGTTTCAAAATAAACTGTCTTTAGGACAAACAGTACTATGCATTTTCACAGCACTCCCATCACAATTACGAAGTACTAAATTAGTAATTTGTGCCATATCTTCAAATGCTTACAGATAGCACATTTTGGTATCTTGCCAAATTTATTAAGACATTCGTGCTTTAATGAAAGTGACACTAGAGATCAGGATCCAAAGGTTATTAATTTTTGCATCCAGCGATATCGCTCAGCTCACCTTGTTGGCGATACTTGTAATGAATGACTTAACATCTAGATTTGTCGGACAGCTCTTCTGGCAGGGGGCATCTGCACATTTCAAGCACCTAGGGAATAAAATGACTCTGGTAAAAAAGTTACAAAGTAGCTGAAATTTTCTCTTTCTATTTTTACCTTATACCTATTCTTAGTTAATGTCTAATATACACAAATAGAATTCATAGGCTTGGAATAAAACCTTAAATAAAGCAGTAAATACACAGCCTCTGTATTTCCCTTTTGCACACCTCCTGAGATGTGTGGAAAAGCATCGTTTGGACTATTTATATCCCGTTCTCTCTGAACTCCTATGTTTTATCAGGATCATACCTGAGATACATCACTGACTCTTTTACGGTACCAGTTGACTTTGATCCCTCACTATATCGACAATTCTTACTGCATACAGTATTTTATGACAATGTTTGAATATCTTAAACACCACAATTATAGAAATGCAAAGGTAATCGCTGACTTTACTAGTTATAATGTTCCTTTTTCCTCCCTTCTCTCCCAATTCCATCCGGTCTCGTTTGCCCTCTCTTCCTTCCTCCTTCCCACCCTCTTTTTTTTTTTCCTGGTGTCTTTCACCTTACAGTCCATTCACAGAATAACTGAGTTCTGTAACATCTGCTTCAAAGCACAGCCCAGATTCATCTCCTTCAAGAACAAAGCATTCACTTCCCCAGCTGCCTTCAGCTCACACAAAAAAAGACTAAGGTCCTGTCTCCCTTGCTAGTGGCAGGATTCATGCAATTATAGGTCAGTGAGAGAGGGTTAGAAGTGTAGACACCTTGGAATGACTGTCTACCCAATACCACTGCTTTCACTTTGTGTGGGATATTAATATCTAAATAAAGTTCTGGCATTCCAATTACAACTCAGAATCTTCTCCCTGGGGCACTGACCAGAGACTTGCTTCAACTTTAGCATACCTAAGGACCTTGTGGGAGCTAGTGAGTGTGTACATTCCACTGAGGTTTGAGGCGTGCCTGGTCAGTCTGAGTTACTGCATCTCTAAAATGTTATTGATACCCACACTGTGGAACTGCCACACTGCCATGCTATAACTGCCTTAGGGACGGAAGCAAACGCTGGCTGCACCCATTTTTCATTTGTATATTATTTGCTCATTTATTCACTCATGTAATGAATATTTGAGGATCCCCTGTGTGTGATTAAGCTTATGGACTGAGAAAGCACTGGGAGCCTCATCTTCAGCGAGGTGGCATTGAAAGGTGTCGTGAAACCTTCAAGAAATAGACTAGGGGGTGGAGAGATACTTCAGTGGTTAAAGGCATTTGTAGAGAAACTGGATTAGGTTCCCAGCACCTATATGGCAGTTCACAATCATCTCTAACTCCAGTTCCAGGGGCTCTGAATCCTCACTGGTCTCTGGGGCACCAAGCACACATGTGGTGCACATACATGCACGTAGGCAGAGTCTCATGGACATAAAATAAAAATAAATAAATCTTTTTTAAAAAACGGAGTGGAGTCCACTTGGAAGACGAGTAATTGAGGGTGCTAGTCTCAGAGAACTGATGAGGCTCTCTTAGTTCTTACATGAGGCTTATTATTAAAGAGCAAGTCTGGTTTCTTCCTTGCTTCTCTGGCTTTTTTTCTTGGCATATAGCATCTCTCTCTCTCTCTCTCTCTCTCTCTCTCTCTCTCTCTCTCTCTCTCTCTCCATACATCATAAAGCTCATATCGTAGCATAACCATGTAATTTTGGCATTTGTCCTCTCAAACTGTAAGCTAAATAAACTTCGCCATATACATCATCCTACCTCAGTTATTTTGTTATAGTAACAGGAAACAATCTAGTATATTTGTTATATGGCAGATCTTGGAGTGCATGAATGTAAAAATATTGGCCCTGTCTTATGGAACTCAAAGATCAGAAATATAGAGAACAATGAAGAGTTAGTAATTGTCAATAGATTTAGTGAAACTACGCACAGGCAGCATATAAGGTAATCTTGGAGGGAGGAGTCAAGAAAAATTCATTGAATATAATAATACTTAAAGAAGCCTGAAGGATAGGCAGGCATTAAGGAAGAGAATCACGGTGAGATTGATAGTATAGGGCGTTTCAAGAGATTGATTCAACAGCAGAAACAGCATGTGCCAAGGTTTGGAAAGGAAAGAACATTTCAGGGTAGGTGAAGTAACAGAATTTAGTCTGATCTAAAGCAAGAAAGGGTTAAGAGAGAAATTAGAAATTGGACTGGAGAGACACAACTTCAGAAAATATCCAACTGCCACATGTCAGAAGAACAGAATTTTCTACGAATTTCACCAAGAATGAATCCTCCATTACTCAGTGACAAAGATGATGAGTTAGTTCATTTTCTATCAGCTTCCTTGTGTCAAAACCTTAGTTCATCTCTTTCAAGGAAACAGTAGACTCTCCTTGTCAGTCTTTTGTATGGCAGGCCTTTCCATTGTCAGAATCAATTTTTCAGAACTAATTAATAGCTTGTTTTTAAATCTGTTCTCTTTTCTCTGGTTTGTGGCCTTAGCCTTCTCTCTAAATTAAATTTTTCACAATGAGTAGCAAAGGCTTTTCATAATCAATTGTCCTCTCTGAAATGTAGTCATTAAACCACTCCCTTGCCACTGCTCTAAAAACTATTGTTAGATTCACATCTATCATTTCGTTGGATGCCCATCTACCTATACTTATGATTTCTTTCCTAAAACACTGTCACCAAGAACAAAAAAAGAGAGAATTTTTAAAGTATGGACTATAACTTAAATCACTAAGTGACTCAAAAAGAGCAAAAGACTCAGCACATGTGGTCCTAGATGTTACAAGCAGAGGACACTGAGGGGTGAACTGTCATGTGGCTATATGGACATTCATAGTGGTTTGAAAGGATTGCATAACAAGTATAATTCCAAGAACCAATATCTAGCGAGATAGTGCTATCTTATTTTCTCATTTATTAATAAGTCATAGTAACAGTCTAAACAACTTTTCATTACATAGGAATTAAGACACACTCATATGTATGACAAACACACACATATATTCACACAACACATGACAGTCACACATAAAGGGAAAGAAAAAGAACCACAAGAGAGATAACATCATACAGTTTCTAGTTATATCTAATGAGGTCACGAGTTTTCTGCATTTCTTGTTTCTAACACCCAACTTGAACAGCGAGGTAATTAAAAATAAACTTATGTCAGCAGGTACCAATGAATCAAATTCACATTCAGTGTATTTTTATGGTCTTCCAGAAAAAAAAACTGAATTCAATATAAATAGATTCACTTAACAGCATTGGCAATGTAAGGATTTTTAGTTGTGATTATTAAGCCTCTTTACCAAATAATTCTCCCTTTATTATTGAGCTAGTTCACAAATAACAGCTGTTGGAAATGTCAGATGTTAATGAGGCAGGGCAATGCAAACCTGAATTGTAGCATTCCTTTTTTTTTTCCTTTGGTGCCGTGGATATGCCAGAATGGGCAGGCTCTGATAATAATACCATCTTGCAATTCTCTAAGCGCTCTGCAGACTAAAGTGCATCAGGCGGCCGTTAATCCCACTTATCACTCTGACAGCTCAGTAATTACACTACTGCAGTAACCAGGTAGTCCTAATAAAATATCAACCACTGCACTGGAATGCATACTGGTAAGATGTTTTATTGGGGGGGGGTTGATCATCAAGTGACACTTTTGTTGACCTATTTTTCTATTTGACAATACATTATCCTTTGACCAGGCCATAATAGATATGACAGAATACATTTGCTGTACCAAATCAGAAAGGTTCTGTATTGTAAAGATGTAAGCAAATGGTGTAAATAAAATAGCAGAAATGTATGCCAGAATGTTATTACCTAAATTGCTTTAAATGATTGATACCATGAAAAAAAGATCCGAGACACAGTAGTGAGGGGGATATGTCAACAATTATTGTACTTTTGTAAACCACAATTCTCAATAAATTGTTCCTTGGAAGTAACATTTAAATCACACTTATTTTTACCTTCAGTCATTTAATTCCCCTTTATTTTGCTGAGGTACTCTGTTATGACATTTATTTTTAAATGTATTATAAGGGGCAACATTTAGTTCAGACAAATATTTATGTGACACATTTAATCATCAGGAAACTAAATTTATACTAAACACGTATATTGGATTCTTTTTAAAGCAAAGAAATATGATATTTTTTTACTAATGATAAGCTTTTTTTCTATTTTCCTATTTCATGAAGAGCATGATAATAGATTTTATTTAAAATAAAATGAGGAATTCTTAGTAAATGCTAATCTTTCATGTTTTGAAAGGATTATAAAAAAGTTTTTGGAAATTTTCACACTACTACTTAATGGAAAAACTATTCCAGGTCCAGTTATCTAAGATCATTCTTTAGGCAAAACAAACACAGTGAGAATGGGTAGTTTTACTTCTCAGCACAACGGCAAAAAAATATTAGAGACAGAAATAGACTAAGTAGCATTTTATTCTTCAAATATCTGAGAACAGATACCTTTTTCTATGGATAAGTACCCACAATGGCAGGAACTGAAAATTATGCTTCTTAAAGAATTTTCTATTCCAAGAGTATAAATGACATAATTTCTCAGTAGACACGAATCCACACGTGTGCACACACATAGGCACACAGAAACATACAATCTATGAGAATCCTTAAACTCACTTTACACTGTTTGGCTTCCTCTAGGCATTGGTTTAATGGAGCCAGAACTGTTTCACCAGAGTGTATACTCTAAATGATCAATATATTAATATAACGAAATAAGTCACATTAATATTCATATTAGGAAATGTAAAATTTTCCTAATATTGATATCATATTTCCTCAGCTTTTTGATGTTTAGGCTGTGACTCTGTGCCTTTAACAGCTAAGCCATTCTCTCCAGCCCTCCTCAGATCTTTGATGTCATTTAGTCAACGGGACCTAACTTCCTTTACCTACAGGCACCAGAATAAACAGATGCATAGCTCAGTGTCTTTCATCCAATGTGGAATATTCCTATTGAAAACTGGGTAAATCCAACTGGCAATTTGGATGGAA